TTCCTGCCCCTCCCATTAAAATAACCCCATTTTTATCCATATCTCCCTTATTAAGACCTGTTTCCTACTGCTCTTCTCTTTCAGGTTCTTTCTTTTCCTTTACCTCCCTGGTTCCTTTTCATATCCTGGTTCTTGTAGTTGTTACCTCTTATGCCTAGGTGTGGTCTGGGATGGAATCTGGGAGGAGACCCACCTAGGCTTTGGAACTGGACTTGGGAATTACTTGGGCAAGAAATTCTAGGGTCTTGGGCATGGAACATGGTCAAAAGATAGGGATATGGGCTCCATATTGACCAATTTCTTGGCTATGGACTTGTCAATCTAGAGGTGGGGCATGGTCAGGTCAGAACAGGACAGGTCCAGTCTCACAAGTATGAAGGTAAAAGGTTTATCAGATGCTAACTAGGAATTTACAAAATATTTTTCCAATAGCAAATCATATTATACATAAATACAGTGAGTCAGCAGTTGGATTAGCATGAATCAATGGACCAGTAAACCTGGCGTGGTATCAATGGCTTTAGCTTTCATGTACTGTCATGTAGAATCTGTATTTTTCATCCTATGAAGTGATCATTTTCCCAGGTCCATTTGTACCTAGTCCTCAACTCATGATGGTTTAATTACAGTTCTTCACCATCATTCTGTTTTTCTCCTTCAGTATAGTGTTCAAGAAATCATTTGAGCTATTCAACACTTTTATTATAAAGTAGGACTTATGTTAAATGGTTTTTACCAAACCATAGGGTGATCAAAGTATTTCAAACATGTTTAGGTTGTGTAGGCTGAGCTATGTTTAGTAGGTTAGGTTTATTAAACACATTGTGGAGTTGGAGAGATGTCTCAGTGGTTAGGAGCACTGGCTGCTCTTGCAGAGGACCCCAGGTTTGCATCCCAGCACCCACATGACAGCTAACAATCATCCATAACTCAGTTCCAGGGGATCCAACGCTCTCTTCTGGCTTCCATGACATGGGTGCACTTACATACATGTACACATAACACTCATACACATAAGATAAAAGTAAATTTAAAAGTTTAAAACACAAAACAACCCCCCCAAACACATCTAAGTTTTAAAATTATTAGTATTTATTCATTACTGCCATTACTATTATTAGTGCGTGTGTATGTGTGTATATGATGTGTGTGGGCATGAGTGCAGGTGCACACCTGCCACAGCCATGTGTGGAAGTCAGCAGAAAACTTTCAGGAGGCAGTTTTCTCCTTCCACCATGAGTTCCAGGGATTGAATTCACACCGTGAGCCCTGTGTGGTAAGCACTTTTAACAGCTGAGCTGTTGTGTCAGCCCTGTATCTTGTTTTGTTCTGTGATGTTTAGAGGTCGGAGGGGGGATCCTCATCATGTTGTCTAAGCTGGTTTCAAACTCCTAGGTTCAATCGAGGATGGCTTCAAACTCCTAGGCTTAAGCAATCCTCCTGCCTCAAACCCCTTAGTGGTTAGTACCATAGGTATGTGCCATCATGTCTATCTGTAAGTGGCATGTTTAACTTAGAATATTTTCAACCTACTATGATTTATCTGGATGTAACCTTATTGTATGCCCAGGAGTATATGTGCTTGGAGAATTATATTGCTATAATGCACTAAAACTGTCAACCAAGTATCATTTAGCCTGGTGTTTTAGTGAAAAAGTAAATTTAGGATTCTAATCTAGAACACCAGCAATTTGTCATCCCCCTTAAAGGGTCTCTGCATCCACTTCTTTTCTTTTCTACTTCTTTCTTTTCCTTTTTTTTTTCGTGTGTGTGTGTGTGTGTGTGTGTGTGTGTGTGTGTATGCCAAGGTCTTGCTATATATCTTGGGTTTGTCTGGAGTTTTCTTCATTATTCAGTTCGGCCTGGAGTTTGTAGTCCTCCTGCCTCAGCCTCCTGAGTGCTTAGATTATAGGCATTGTTCTAGTTTGTTTCTCCATTGCTGTGACAAAACACTGTGACCACTACCAGCTTGGGGAGGAAAGGGTTTATTTGTCTTACATCTCCCGAGTCACAGTTCATCAGGGAGCCCAAGGTAGGAAGTCAGGGCAGGAACCTGGAGGCAGGAGCTGGAGCACAGGCCATGTAGGATTGGCTGCCCACTGTCTTGCTCCCCTGACCCCAGCTCAGCCAGCTTTCTTATGCAACACAGGCCCACCTGCCCAGGGGTGGCACCATTCACAGTGGGCTGGGCCCGCCCACATCACTCAGCAATCAAGAAGATGCCCTATAGACATGGCCACAGGCCAGTTCAATGGAGGAAATTCCCCAACTGAGGCTCCCTCAACCCAAGTGTGTCAATTTGACACTAAAACTATCCAGCACAGGTTTTGACTATACCCCCCCCCCCTTTTTTTTTTTTTTTTTTTTTTGAGACAGGGTCTCCCTGTAGCCCCAGATGTCCTGGAACTCCCTATATAGACCAGGCTAGCCTCGAACCATTTATTTCTTTATAATTATCTAAGAAATGAAATCTCTCCCTTTCTGTTTCTGTCTCTGTCTCTCTGTCTCTCTCTGTCTTTCTCTCTGTCTTTCTCTGTCTCTCTCTCTGTCTCTCTCCCCCACCTTCCTCCCTCTCTGTCTCTGATTCTAAGCCAGGCTGGTGTTCCCATGGCGTGGGAGCAGTAGTTCTGTTAGGCAGACTGTAAGGATTTGGTGGGGCTGAGCACCTAGGCGAAAGGCTGTTGGGGTAAGAGCTATGGGAACTGCCGTCCCAGGTATGACATTTCTCTTGTAGTCATTTCTTGGCCTCATTTATTCTGAGTTTTCCAAGGATCTTCTGGTTTCTAGCTTTGTTTGGTCTAGTATCGTCACCTTTGCCAGAATTGTTTCATTTTGTCTGCTATTTCCTAGAGAAAAATACTGATGCACTTTCCCCTAGTTTTGGCTTTAAATGTATTACAAACACCATTTGCAGCCTCTCACAAGAAGAATGGAAATGAAATTATTACTGAAAGCTATGCAACTTTTTTGGTTCCCCCAAACTGAACTTTTGAACTAACGAATCTTTCTTTAAGCCTGGTGTTTTGAAAAATTTGCAGAAAACTAATACATACTATTAAGGTGTAATTCTCTGACTGCATACTCATATTCAAAATAACACAATATTGAAATGTCGTCTAGTTTTGTTCTTGTTGGATATCCATAGAAACGAACAGGTTGATCTGTTTGGGGATTAAGCATCATATCTATGACTATGGGTGAGATTGGAAAGTATGTGTGTCAGGAACCAGAACTAAGCATATAAGCATAAGCATGTGGCTCTGGAAAGGATCTCTCTCTCTCTCTCTCTCTCTCTTTCTCTGCATGTGTGTGTGTCTATGTGTGTCTGTGCCTGTGTCTATATGTGTACATGCATACATATGCACAGTGTGTGGAAACCAGAGGTTGACATTGGTGTCCTCCTCAATCACTTCTCACCTTCTGTTTTGAAACAGACTCTAACTGAACTTGGAGTTCACTGATTGGCTAGAGCCCCAGGGATCTTCCTGTCTCTGCCTTGCCAGTGTTGGGGTTATAGGTGCATTCTATGTGAGTGCTGAGGCTCAAACTCAGGTCCTCATATTTGCACAGTGAGCTCTTTACTGGCTGAGTCATCTCCCCAGTTTTGGATTGCCCATTTCATTCATGCTCAGAGCTCTATGAAATTCCCCTTTGTGCACCTTTGTAGTGGCATTATTCTCAGTTTGAGTATGTGTGGTCTTTGTGCCATAGTTAACACTGATAGAACGTTTATGAGTCTACCTATGGGAAATTCTCAGAGGGAGACAAGATTACTCTCTACAAGAAAAACAGATTTAACAGGAGATTGAATTACCAGCTAGGGGGCTAGGGATATAGCTTAGTGGGAGAATATTTGCATAGCATGCTCAAGGCCCTGGCTTTGATTCCTAGGACAAAAAAGTTTACTAGTGAGGAAGGGACTAAGCTGAAATTCAAGCCATAATCCATTTCACTCCAAGACTATGCCTTTGACTACTAGGTTTATACTATACTGTCCCTCACCCCTCTTGGCTATTGGGGGAAGTCCTGGTATTCTCTGCTTCATGTTAAAAGTACTCATTTTTGGGGTGGAGAGATGGCTCAGTGGTTAAGAGCATTGGCTGCTCTTGCCGAAGACCAGGGTTCAATTCCCAGTACCCACATGGCAACTAACAACCATCTGTAACTCCAGTTCCAGGGGATTTGACACCCTCTTCTGACCTCCATAGCACGACACAGGTGCACTTACACACAGGCAGGCAACGTACTCATACACATAACATAAAAATAATAAAATATTCAAAAGTACTCATTTCTTTAGAGATTCTATGTTTCCTTCCAGTCTATGGCTAATGCATGGTGTTAGGGCATCACCTACTTTGGTTGTTGTCTTTGCTGTTTAAGATTGTCATCTAGAGATAGCACCCTACCTAGAATGGTCCTAACTCTGAATGGGGCCATCCATTTATGAGAGAAACCATTTTAGTTGAAGCTTTGATTTTCTGAAGGGCTGGTGCTTCTCTCTGCACACCTTGTGCCCCCAACCTCCTAGCCTCTACCTACCCCATCCACCCACCCTCCAAACCATGGATTGGGTCAGGCATACAACCCCTCTGACTGGCAGCTGAGCTCTGCCTTTCTCAGTGCACAGGAATATACTACCCTAATAGGGCAGTATAACTAACAAGGATCAGTTCTGCCTTATAGTTCCTTTCTTGCATCTCCCTGGGGAGGTGATGGTTCTTTATAAATACTGAACGAAGTTTGTTCATTTTTGGAAGGAGTCCAAGGCTGAAAAGTGCAAGCTATACAGCTGAGATTCCTTTAACCAACATTTAATCACATCTTTGAAATATTGATTGGTGACTTCTTTATGTTGTCTGTACTTTTAGCTTTTAAAAAACTATCATTCTGTCTTTACAGTAACAGGTTGCTGGGAAGGAGGGCGGGTGTGTCTCACAGCCTCTTGCTTTCCCCAGGCTTTGTGGAGCTCAGCTTGTTGGACCAAGTGCGGCTCTTGGAGAGCTGCTGGATGGAGGTGTTAATGGTGGGGCTGATGTGGCGCTCCATCGACCACCCTGGCAAGCTCATCTTTGCTCCAGATCTCGTTCTGGATAGGTGAGAAAAAATTACATTGCATTTCTTCTCTGATCTGTTTGACTAAGTGTAGTGAGTAGGAACAAAGTCCTGGGTGATACCATGAAATTCGCATACCCACAAAGGTGATTGGAGGTTGGCAATGCCATCCACTCCTTCACTGGGTCAAGAGCCTGAGGAGAAGCATGTGAGGCAGGATTCAGTGCTGGTGAGTGCACCAGAAGTCAGAAGCCAGGGCCATGGCAGGGGACTGGCCTCTGAGTGCACAGTTAACACAGATTTTTTTTTTTCATTAAAAATTCCATTCTTGAGGACTGGAGAGATGGCTCAGTGGTTAAGAGCACTGGTTGCTCTTGTAAAAGTTCCCAGCACCCGCACAGGGTGGCTAATAACTGTCTGTAACTCTAGGGGATTTGATGCCCTCTTCTGACCTTGGGCACTGCATAACACAAGTGCACTTACATACATGCAGGCAATACACTCATACACATAAAATAAAAATAATAAAAAATAAGATATTTTTAAGAATTCCATTCTCACATTATACTCTTACGGTGTCCTGCTGTTTAGTGGCCAATTATATTTCCAGCTCTCTGGATAGATGGTAAGATTCTTATGAATCTTCCAAATTTATTTTCCTGTGTTTTAGCTTTAATGCTAATAGCATTACCTGTAATAGCATTTTTGGAAATAGTGGTGGAAGGCTGACTATTAAGACCACATGAAAATTAACAGAAATCTGAAGGTGACAGTGTTGATGTCATAATGCATTTACATTTTGTTTTATTTTAAAGATGGTACAGATAAAGAACTAAATTTAAATTGATTTAGCTGAACTGTTTATGGAGGGAAAACTGGAATATTCAACACCGTTCAAGGTTAATTGTAGGAAAAACAGAAACTCTTGGTGTACCTTTGAGCAATATGAAAAATTGTGGAGATTGGCTTCCACTTCCCCTTAGGTTGGAAAAGCACTAGTGCTGAATGTCAGCTCTTTTAACTTAGTGCTGAGTAGGAAGCCCTGGGGCTGTGAACCAAAAGTGCCTGCCCCAACTCCTGCATCATAACCCTGTTACCACTTCAGGTCATCAGAAGACCCTCACTGGCACGTTGCGCAGATGAAGAGCCCTGCCCCAAGGTATCAGCATCCTTTCTGCCTGTTATCATGGATAATACTGACAAAGAGCACTGTCCTGAGTAATGGAGGTGTTTTGGTGGAGAACAAAGCCTGTGGGAAGAACTGGAGCATGGGATGTGGCTTGAGCTGGAGCAAGCCCAGGTGCTGAACCATAGAGGGAGGCTCTGGAAGGCCAGAGCAATGGGTGGGTCCCAGACCTTTCACTGACCATCAAAATAGCTAAGTTATTGGCTGGTATGTGCTACGCACCATCTTAAGCACTTAATGTCTATTGCCTTATTTTTCCAGCAGCTCTTTTGGGGGTAAGCGTTGTTATCATTCCAAGTCTTCAGATATAGCTTAGATAGTGAGTGATGGAGCTGGGCTTGGAGATCTGGCTCTGAAGTCCATATACGTCAGAACCATAGCACATTACCTCTGTGGGAAAGAGAACTGGATGGGGAAAGGAGGCAAAAGGCAAACTAATTTCCTAATTTATTCTTTTGTCTTAGAACTTTCCTATGTCTTAGTCTATTTCTGCCCACAGAAACACACTTCTCCTATCACCTCTGGTACCACATGTAAGGCAAACTGAAAGGCCAGGCACCCAGTCAGGCCATTGCTTCATTCATTCATTCATTCATTCATTCATTCATTCATTCACTCTTTCTGTTCCACTCAATGATACAGTGTGGCTTCCAGACATACCCATATGTATAAACATATACACACATTTCTGCTAGAAGTTAGTGGTAGGAAGATGTTCTATCCATTTATAGATACTGGGATTAAAATTATTTTACTTTTTGTTTCAATTTCTAAATGGATGTCAAAGCTAGTGTTCACTTTCAGTGACCGTTTCAGTCATGGCAAAGAGCACGCATGGGAGTATGTTTAGCCCTCCCCTTTCTCTATGTGAGTTCTTTAATTTCTATAAGAATGTGTATATGTTTCTGTAGCTTTATATCAATCCTGATAAATATTGTCCCTTCTCTTTAGTTAAGTAATAGAAGAAACAAAAAGCTGGGTGTGGTTATGTGTGCCTGTACTCCCACTGAGACTGAAATAGAGTTATAATTTCATGGATAGCCTGGGCTACATAGAAAA